CTTGGAGATCTCGGTCCCGGAACCCACGTGACTTTGTCCCTCTGCCAGTACCTTCATGTGTGCGGAGAGTGGTCTCAGCATGGTGGTGGCTGGTCCTGGAGGTCTTTGACTGCCAGAGCCCTGGTCGGGGCAGGGAGGAAAGCTCAACCCGCTCCCCTCCAAGGGCCCCTGGCGGCGAGGACAGTCAGGCGCGGGGGCAGGAGACTGTACTGTTCTTCTTCCGGGAGCTGGTTTTTATAGTCTCTGAGTCTTAATTTTCTTTTTCTAAAGAAAATTAATTTTTAAATTATAATGTGCCCATTTAAGAAAGTATAAAGAAGATTTATACAGCACAGAGAGAAGGAAATTTCTCTACACTATAAGTATGAGCACAATGTTTTCTTCAATTTCTCTAATTTTTAAAAATTTTTGTTGTTATTGGTCTCCACCTGGTGGTTCTCAAGGTTTACTCCTGGTATTGTGCACAGGGGTATCACTCCTGGTGATTATGTGTGGGTCTCTCTTCTGGTGGTGGTGTGTGTGTGGGGGGCGGGCGGGGAGTTATATTGATGTCAGAGGGCCTCACGGGTTGTTCATGTGAAGTGGGGAGAAGAAAAACCGTCACTTTCTCCCGATTCACCTTTGCCACCTGGGACCCAACATTTCTGGGTTCTCCTCTGGCCTCTCAGAAAGGAATTTCAGGACTAGATGAGCAGTGAAATTGATGCTGGTGGGCCCCACGGGTGACTTATGTGAAGTGGGGAGAAGAAAAACGGGTCGCTTTCTCCCCAACCACCTCTGCCACCCGGGACTCAGGGTTACTGGGTTCTTGTCTCGCCTCTCAGAAAGGAATTTCAGGAGTAGACAAGCAGCGAAACAAAGATTTTATTCGGAGGATTTTTAAGGTGTGTGTGTGTGTGTGGAGAGAGAGAGAGAGAGAGAGAGAGAGAGAGAGAGAGAGAGAGAGAGAGAACACAGGCTTCTCCAAGGATGGAGAGAGCACCCCTACACACATCCTAGCATTAGACACGAAAGCATGAAAGTACACATCTCAAGAGGGGAGATGTGGGTGACACACATGCTCGGGCACCACATGTGCTCGGCCACATGGGTGCAAGCACACTTGGGCTTGGGCAGCATATGTGTGCCCTTCCTTTGTTCAAGGTGGCCTTTATAGGGTTTCTCCAGCCTGCCCCCACGTGAAGCTTCTTCCCAGGTAAAAGTCCATTGCTAAGGAAGATACCAGGGTGGTTGGGAGCAGTGATGGTCTTCTTTGGGCTGAATCACTAAAATTAATAGAATTAAAAGGGAGGTCCAAAAAGAGGAACTTCAGTGGGAAGAGTCCTATATCCTCAAGGTCTGCAGATGGTCTTATCAGGTCTTTGTTTTCTGTATCCACAAGGTGGGTCAGTCCTAGACTTCTTCCATGAAACTTTGTTTCATTTCAAAGGACCTTTCCATGTCTACCTGCCTACATCAAAATTACAGTTTTTATTTGGAGGCTTTGAAGGGAAGGAGGGAGAGAAAGTAGGAAAGAGAGAGTGGAGAGTAACGTGCTCAAGAGAGAACCTGGGCTTCTCCAAGGGCAGAGAGAGCTCCGACACACATCCTAGAGTTAGACATGAAAGCATGAAAGTCCACATCTCAAGAGGGGTGATACGGGTGACACATGAGCTCAGGCACCGCATGTGCTTGGCCACAAGGGCGCAAGCAGCACATGGCTCAGGCAACAAATATGCTTTCTTCCTTTGTCTAAGGTGGCCTTTATAGGGTTTCTCCAGCCTGCCCTGTTGTGGGGCTTCTACCTAGGTAAAAGTTCGTTGCTGAGAAGGTTACCAGGGGGTTTGGGAGTGGTGATGGTCTTCTTTGAAATTCCTTTCTTGGCCTTTGTTTCTGCAGGAGCTTCTCTGGGTCTGTTGCTATAGATAGGTGAGAGTCTTGTTAGGTCTTAGTTCCTGTTTTTACTTGTTTTCTGCAAGGTTGGCTTTAGCCATTGCCTTGGGAAAGGGTCTTCCCTATCCTGCCTGCATCAATATGCAGTGAGGATAGAACTGGTGTCTGCCCCGTGTGAGGCAAGTAATTATCCACTGTACTGACTCTCAGACCCTGTTCATTTCTTTTTGTTTGTTTGTTTGTTTTTGTTTTTGAACCACACCTGGCTATGCTTTGGATTTACTCCTAAATCCTGCTCAGGAATCATTCCTGTCTCTGTGCAGGGATCAAACCAAGGTAAGCACTTGCAAGATAAGCAGATTTTGTTGTTGTTTTGCTTTTGGCTACACTTGGCTCAATTCTTGGGGTCACTCCTGGCAGTGCTTGGGGGACCATGTAGTGCTGAGGGATTCAATCTGGGGCTCCAGAAATAAACGGAAAAAGACTATTCTTAATTGGGAAATTGGGGACCAAGGGGCTGGGAGGAGAATAGGTGTGAAAACTCTTATGACAACTGTTTTGTATAATGGATTTAATTTGGCACATCATGTTTTTCATGAAATACAAAAACACTATAAATTTTGAAAGCAGCATGAAAACATTCATATGAATTCCCCCAACAGTTCTGATATTTATATGTAAACATATGAAAGAAAAGTAAAACCTATTACTAAATATTAGTAAAGGTAAAGGCCCTCCCGTTGATCATCGATTTGCTCGAGCGGGCCCAGTAACGTCTCCATTGGAGACTTTGTTGTTACTGTGTTTGGCATATCGAATACGTCACGGGGAGCTTGCCAGGCTCTGCCGTGTGGGCGAGATACTCTCGGTAGCTTGCCGGGCTCTCCGAGAGGGGCGGAGGAATCGAACTCGGGTCGGCCATGTTGGCTGCGTGCAAGGCAAACGCCCTGCTGCTGTGCTATCGCTCCAGCCCTTACTAAATATTAAACCAAAAGAAAACCATCTAATATGACCACACAAAAATAATATATTTTTTCTTAAACATACAGAATGAAAATGAAAGAAGGATCAAAGGAGGAGAGGTATTCAAATAGGGCAAAATGCTTGAATAGAATTGAGGTGAGAAAGGATTCTGTTCATTAAGACTTGAATTGCTTTTCTTCTCTCAAACTATATAGCTTTCCAATTTTCAAAATAAGTCACAGACTTTGAAAATATATAATATTTTGTGTTTTCAATGACAGAAATTCTGGAAAGAAGAAAAAAGTGGTAACATCAAATGTCACCAGGAAAAGATAAATGAATGTAGTAGATATTAGAAGAAATGATAAGAAGGTAATACTGGAATCAGAAGGCACGAGCACTGAAACAAAGCAACTTATTATGTATAATAAATCACAGAAAAACTTTGCTCTTTGGGTCACTATCGCTCTCTTTTTTTTTTTTTCCTGTGGATGCTGATGGTGGATGTGGTGGTTTGGATCTCTTCCAAAAGGGCTCAAGGAACCATATGGTGCAGGGAGATTGAACCAGGGTTGGCAGTATGCAAGGGAAATACCTTAAACCCTACCTTGGTCTTTCTAGCTCCCGGTCAATTTCTTTATATTAAATGCTGATTTTTGGAAAAAAAATATTTCTCACCAATATTTGATATTGCATGACTGGTATTCTTATTACGTAGATCTTCTAAGGTCTCCCTGAAGAGACCCATTGTTTCTAAGCCAGTTCTTAGAGAGTTGGCAATGATCAGTGTAGTCAGGGCTGGAGCGATAGCACAGCGGGTAGGGCATTCGCCTTACAAGCGGCCAACATGGCCAACCCGAGTTCGATTCCTCCGCCCCTCTCGGAGAGCCCGGCAAGCTACCGAGAGTATTCGATATGCCAGACACAGTAACAACAAAGTCTCCAATGGAGATGTTACTGGGCCCGCTCGAGCAAATCGACGATCAACGGGAGGGCCTTTACCTTTACCTTTACCTTAGTGTAGACAGAAATAGGACACTGTTGAAGACTCATAATCTTTTGAATAAAGACCGTAGCTACAGCCTGACGAACTGGGTAGGTATTAGGGAAACGTTGTATTCAAAATCTTGGAGTTAAGTTTCTAATAGCTGGTAACATGCAATTTCTGTTTAACAAAACAAAACAAAACAAAACAAAACTGAGTTTTACAAAAATAAAATGAGAAAAAGAAAAGACACATATCCTGAAAACCAAGCAGTTCTCTTCAGAACTACTTTATACTTTCTCCTCGACTCCTTATTAAACCCATGTGCACATTTAATTATGGAACATCTAAATAGGCATCCATTTTATTTTTCTATTTCCTATTAGAATAATGCTATGGGCTTGGAAATATATTTATTATCTGAAATTTACAGCTCTTCTCCCATTTTAAGTAAACATCAGGTACTTAGCTAATTAAATGTGAAACTCATAGGACTTGTTTATAAGAAAGTGTCCTCTTTCAGGATGTTGTGTGCAAGTCCTGATAAAATTACTTAGAAAATGACAGTGTACTCTCTTTCATAGGCTGACCTTGTGGTTGCCACTGCCTGAAACTGGCACAAACTGACAAATAATCCAAGGGTTAGAACAAGATAAGATCAAACTGATGTCATGGTAATTTTACAAAGTAATATTCAATCACTGGATGGGATTTACTGTTGATCCCTGGGCTTAGATGCAGGTGGGAACATGCAATTTTTATTAGCCTTCTAGTATAAAAAGACAGGTGAGGACTTTATTAACTGCAGTTACTGAAAAATCACAAGACAAAGCTAAGAATCGTCTTCACATCCACCATCAGCTGCCCTAAACACATCTTGCAAAAAAAAATCCAGTTGAAGGTAATATGCATGAAATAATTTGGGGGGTTTTATAGAGTGAGGACTAAAAATTTGATGATTAAAGAAGGCTTGCATGAATCTTAGTAAAAGAATTAGGCATTTAAACATTCTATTCTCAGCGCTCATGATTAAATTGAGAGGAAGTTGGTAAAATTGTGGTTTGTGATCTCAGGCTAAAATATTGTCTAGCAGAAGCCAGGAAGCAAATGTCTTCAGTTGAATGTCCGTCAGTACCTACATTTTTTCTCACCAATATTTGATATTGCTTGACTGGTATTCTTTTGAGTGACTTCCAGGGGTCAGGTTGAGGCTGAGTAGGCATTATGTAAGTTGCTGGTATTATTTTATTATAGTTTTGAAATGATGCATAACTGTATCTTCAAGCTGGGCCCATGATAAAGTGACTCTTGATATCTTTTAACTAGATCTTCTAGTGCAGAATTGAATAGAAACACAAAACTTTCCTGAACAGCACTGTTTCTACTTTCGTCTTTATTAGAACCTTTTCTTTCATTTCTTTTCTCTCCCCTCCTTCATTTTATTTACTTCTTTTTTTGTAATACAGGGAATTGAACCCCAGGTCTCATACATGTGCTTTACCAAGGAGCCACATCTCTGCCATCTCTGATCCCCCATTTTCTTTTTTTCCCCAATAAATTGCTACTAAAGTAAGCATTAGTGGTTCATCTCCAACTATTACTGAAGAACTTGGAGTTCTAAGTCATTTGTTTAAGTCTAATTGGCTTGTTACAATAAGTCTTTTGGGAAACCTTTGCTAACTTTAATTATATCTGCCTCAGCACTAGTTAAAATGGCAACTGGTTGGGAGATCTGGATTGAAAAATAGCAGTGCACTTTTGTCTCCTTATTTGTGTTGAGGAACAGGATAAGGACAAATTAGAAAGAATCATGGAATAATATTTTATGGTTTTCTTAAAAATGCAGGAGATCTATTTTATTTTTGTAGGAAATTCTGTTTCATAAGTTCGACAGTCCATTCTCTCCTCTGATCCTCTTGGGGATTTCACTTTATTTGTTGATCTCTCCTCCTTTAATAATTTTTTTACTTTCATTCTGTATGATTAAGTCCTTTCAACACTCAAAAGTAAGTAAGGACTTGAGTGTGTGTGTGTGGAGAGACAGACAGACATACAGACACACACACACACACACACACATAGACAGAGATGGAGACAGAGAGTCAGAGACAGACATAGAGAGGCACAGAGAGAGAGTTCAGTGGGCTGAGTGCATGCTTTGTACGCTGGTGAACTGGGCTGATTCCTAGCACCTCTTGGTTCTTGAAGTGATTTCTGAGCACAGAGCAGGAGTAGCCCTAAACACTGCCTACTACACTCTCCCAAAGATATTTTATGTGAGAACAAAAGAGTCTTTTTATGCCCTGAAGATGTCTTAAGACTGGGGAAATTACTTATGACTGAAAGGATTGGAGCACTGGCTTTGCAAGTAGTAGCTCCAGGTTTGACCATTAGTACCACATTACCCAGAAAACTTCTGGGACCAACCCTGGAGCACCAAACTGTGCTGGGAGTAGTCCTCAAGCACATGACTTCATACCAAAGTAAGATAAAATAATTATTTAGTAAGAATTCAATCAAAATATTGACCATGTAAATTGAAACAGAGATGAATTGTGTAATTGTATTTTTAAAAAGTTAAGACATCATGATTTGTATAAAAGTTTTCATTTTATTTTGCTTTTTTAAAGGTTTTCTTTTAAATTCATTACAATAATAGTTTACTTTTAATTTTGAGTCATATTTCTTAGTATTTTCTGCTGAAAAGGGTGCCATCTGAAAAAATATCATACAATCAATTGATTGTATTCTAGAATAGATTCTGTTTTCTTGTACACTTCTTTTTTTTTTAAACATGGGATTCCAATTCACCTAAAAACTGAAAATAAGTTCAGGAAGATAAAAATATCAAAATTAGAAGGTGACATATGGGGGCTGGAGCGATAGCGCAGCGGGTAGGGTGTTTGCCTTGCATGCAGCTGACCTGGGTTCGAATGTCAGCTTCCCATATGGTCCCCTGAGCACCATGAGGAGTAATTCCTGAGTACAGAGCCAGGAATGGCCCCTGTGCATCGCCGGGTGTGACCCAGAAAAGAAAAGAAATAAATAAATCATAAAAAAAACCCAACAACTTCGTGATGGGAAAAAAAAAGGTGACATATGTCTTGTTCAAAAGTAGATTAGCATAATATTTTACACAAAGAGAAAACATATAGTAACCAACTGATATTTTCATTGAGAATATATGCTTCATTATATAAACTTCCATTTTTACAGATTATGATTCCTAGAAAAATTTGGTATCTGTTTATAATATTTGCAAATCTTGGTTTTGGTGTGTAACTTTTCAGCAATATCTGTTGAAATGTTGCACAAAGCAAACTGATAAATCCTCGATTTATTAGGCTAACATTATAGAAACATTATTGAAATGCTCCAGGGACAACTTTTTAGAAAAATATTATAGATATACCCTATCATTTACATGGGGGTATTAAAGAGAGGGGAATTTAGAATTAGTAAGTGGCTCAAGGGAGTATTAGGAAATAATTTAGAGAAGACAATTGTAACAAACACATGAATCAAAGTCATGATAAAGAATAAGTATTAACAAAGTTCTTCCAGAAAGGCTGAGTAGCATAGGGAGAAGGGTACTGTGAAGATCAGGTCCCGATGATTTTTGCAAACTTTTAAATAGGGCATTTGCCTTGCATGCAGCCAACATGGCCGACCCGAGTTCGATTCCTCCGCCCCTCTCGGAGAGCCCGGCAAGTACCGAGAGTATCTTGCCGCACGGCAAAGCCTGGCAAGCTACCCATAACGTATTCGATATGCCAAACACAGTAACAACAAAGTCTCCAGTGGAGACGTTACTGGGCCCGCTCAAGCAAATCGATGAACAACAGGAGGACAGTGACAGTGACAGTAGTTTTCTCACTTGGAAATAATAATGTTTTCCTCTGTAAGTATGAAGAGAATCAGAGAAACATAAATGAAACTCAATGTATCTTTTTTCTATCTTCCAACAATCAGACACTAATCCTCATACTAGATCGATTAGAAAACATCTCCTTAAACAAATAAAATGTCTTCCTTTAAAAAAAGTTTGTGAGAGTGTGTGTGTGTGTGTGTGTGTGTGTGTGTATGCGTAGAAAGGGGTGGGGGTACTGTTTGGGCCACACCTGACTGTGCTCAGGGCTTACCCCTGGTCCTAAACTTAAGGATCACTCTTTTTTTTTTCCAAATATATTAGTTCTTTTTTTTTTTTTAATATTTTATTAGTGAAACACCATGAGGTACAGTTGTAGACTTACAAATTTTTGTGATTGGGTTTCAGTTATACAATGATTGAGTACCCATCCCTCCACCAGTGCCCATTCTCCACCACCACTAATCCCAGTATCCCTCCAATCCCCCTTCCCTCATCCCACCCTGCCTATGTGGCAGGGCATTCCCTTTTGTTCTCTCTCTCCTCTTGGGTGCTGTGGTTTGCAAAAGAGGAATTGAGTGGCAATCATGTTCGGTCTATAGTCTACTTTCAGCATGCATTTCCCATCCTGGACGGATCTTCCCAACACCTCAAGGATCACTGTTGGCAAAATTCAGGGTACCATAAGCAGAGCAGGGGAAAGATCCTGGGTTGGATGCGTTCAAGGCAAGTTCTGATTCCATTGTACTAACTCGCTTGTCCATGAAATGATTTTCTTCATGCTGTTCTGTAGAAGGTGAAGTCAGATAATTATGTAAAATAAAAATTTACATGAGTAAGTTATATTTAACCTGGCAAAACATAATGTTGCTCTAAAAAAGATGTCAGCATCTTATTTAAGAATACACCATCTGAAAAAAATCACTTAAGAAGTTCATTGTAAAGTATAAATATATGAAGGCACTAGACTGAAGTATGGTTCAGCATTAGGAGTTTGAAATGGCAAAGAGACTTTAAAATATCTTGGCTGGTCAGCCCAGTGACAGATTTTGTGAGTGCATTTTTCACCTTTAAATGTTTTTTAATCTGCCAACATGAGAATAATATCTCACAAGGTTGTCATGAGTATTAATATACATAAGTGCTCAATTAATGATAAACACTGTTTTAATGTTGGGGTAAGTGAATTAGGCCACATCTGGTGGTGCTCAGAGGCTACTCCTGACTCTGATCAGGGGTCGTGGTGACTGAATTGCAGTTGGTCACATGTAAAAGAAGCACCTTACCTACTATCTCTCTGGCTCTAAAGTGTGTTATCTTTATTATTATTAATGCCATATATTGTTGCAGATAATGCATGCAACAATGAATACTAGCTCCTCAAAATTTCACAATTATTTATATTTTATTCATAGATTAACCAAATATGTTACATAATTTTAAATTTATTCATTCAGCAAACACAACATAAAAGTATCAGAAGACAGAATTGGGGTCCCTTATCTCAGATGGGAGGAGAAACGTTTGTGACAAGAGACAGCAGTTGTGGGAGAGGTAGATAGTGTAGCAGATAGGGCTCCCCTTGCCTTGCATGTGGCCAACCAGGTTCCCATCTCTGTCGTTCCGTATGATTCCTCAAGCATTGCCAAGAGTGATCCTTTAACTCAGAGCTAGGAGTAAGTCCTGTGCACTGTCTGATGCCTGACAACAATGAGAGAGAGAGAGAGAGAGAGAGAGAGAGAGAGAGAGAGAATAAAAGAGAGACAGAGGAAGACAGAGAGAGAGAGAGAGAGAGAGAGAGAGAGCAAGAGCAAACATGGCTGTTCTAGTTATCTATTGCTTCATCAAGCCACCCACCCCCCAAAAACTTAGTGGATAGATCTTAAATTATTTTTATCTCCCAAAGTTTTGTAGGAGATGTACTGGGCTCAGTTGGACAGCTTTAATTTAATTTATTCATTTTGTGGTGCTGGGGATCAAACCCGGGGCAACACACATGCAAGGCAAATGCTCCACCACTGAGTAATATTCTGGTTGCGCAGTTTGACACTTGATCTTCTCAGGGCCAGAGCTATAGTACAGCAGGTAGAGTTTTTGCCCTGCACCTGGCTGGCTGATTCAGGTTTGATTCCCGGCAACCCATGTAGTCCCAAAATTCCAGTAGGTGTGATCCCGGAGCACAGCCAGGAGTGAGTCCTGAGCACCCCTGGATGTGCCCAAAGATCCCCTCCCTCTTTTACGCATCCTCCCCCGACAAAAAAAAAATCTTTCATGCACTTGTACTCAGTCTGGAAGCCCAACTAAACTGGGTCACTCAGAATGGTTTCTTCACTCATTACTTCTTGGTCTTTTCTGCTT